TTTGAAAAATTAATGCCCATTTTGAATTTGACGGCACATATATTTTCAAATAAATCTAAACCTTAAATCCTTAAATACACCTCTTCTTGTTAGTTAACAGTGGCTTATTATTCACACTGTAATAATAACCATTTTTATTAACCAAAGAAAATCTAAAATATTTTTATTGTTCAAAATAGTTGAAATAAATATTTTTATTATTAAGTGACATCAAGTTAGTTCCGACTCCTGGCAACCATTTGGATAATGTTTCTCCAGAATATCCTGCCTTCTGTTTGGGTCTTCATGCTTCTATATTCATGACTCCTCTGATTGTAGCAGTCCATGTTTTGCTGGTCAACCTCTTTACCTTCAACTCTTCCAAGTATAACTGTCTTTTCCAATGAATCTGTTCTTCTCAGATCAGAAGTCGCCAAAACACCAAAGTTCAAAGGCATCTATATTTTTCCAGTCTTCCTTGTTTATTGTCCAGTTTTCACATCCATATAGAACCACAAAGAAGACCACAGCCTGGACAATTCTGATCTTACCTCCCCACTCAGAGAGCGAGGCCAATTGTGCTCTCTTGGACTCCTGGCCACAGATGGCTGTAGCATTACCAGGGATCAAACTCGAGCTCTCTTGATAACAAGGCCAACGCTTAGAAGGTTGCACCACAACAGTTTAAAATGTTAAATTATGGCAAAATATACTAATTTATTAAACACTATTTGAAAAAACATGTCTCCCCAAACTTGTTCAGTGTACTTTTCCAGTGATAAACATTATGTACCAAGTCTGCAGAGGCGTGGACTCGTCAGGAAATTGATGACTTGAGACTCAGTATCAACATCAATGACTCAGACTTTGACTCAGACTTGAGCCTTGTGACTCGTAAAGACTTGAGACCCAGAGTGGATGAAATGTGGAGAGGTGTCTAACTGCAGACGGGAGTCTACTCAGCTTAATTTTATGTGAAGGGATTCATTTCCTGACATGAATTTTACATACACCAACATTGTCAAATGCCTGTTTACCGTGATTACTTTTGGTTTATTTTATTTCGGAAGACAAGTAAAGCGTCAGAATTCAGTTGTGCCTCCATAAGCTAGAAACAAGTGAAGCATCAATAGCATCAGTAAGCCCTCACTTATTCTAATTTTCCATTCTACCTTAACTGCTGCACCATTTAAGCTGGAACGTTTCTTTCACTCTGGGTTGTCAGCTTTGTACATTCATCATCATTTTGCTGTCGTTTCTGGAAACTTTGTTCAGCTCAGTCGTTTTGGTTTCTGTTGTTGTCTAAATTCAATTCAAATTAGAAGTTGAAGCTCCCAAAAATGATCAAAAATGATTATCTTCAAATATAAAGTTTTTTTTTAGTTTGTTAAAACTTTTTCAAGTACTTCTAATGCACTACTATTTGTTTTTATTTGGAAGGGTAAAAAAAACACAAAACAAATCTTAATATACAGCCACACACTACGAACATGCTGTCATTAAAAGGCTATATTACCGCTACCATCATTTTTGGAGTTTAGTGTTGAAATGGCCATAAATTAGCTCAACAATGCAGACTGACGTGTTTAGGCCTCAAAGATTACAACTTGGGACTTGCTTTGAGACTTGCCCGTACTGACTCGGGACTTGACTCGGGACTTGAGTGTCAAGACCTGAGACTTACTTCTTATTTGCAACTTAGTGACTTGTTCCCACCTGTGCAAGCCTGAGATATCTGTGCACGTGAAGACTGAGTAATGTTGAGTAATGAAACACCATCTGCCCCATTAATTCTCTATGGGAATGAGGTCATGCCGTCCGCTCTGATCCCATCTTTACACGAGCAGAAAAATGTGAACAAAACAGCCTCACAATGGCATTGTCATGTTCGGGTGTCATGTTCTTCACCCCTCGCCGTCTTCTTCTCAGTTTTCTGACCTTCTCAGCTCTCCAAACAAAAGGCCAGGCTTCGAGTCCTCTCAGCGGACCCTGTGAGCACATCGCGTGGCAGGTCAAAGGTCGTAACGGGTCAGGACTCAGTGCTCTGGTGGGACACAGAGATTAATGAGGATGACCTTCCTCCTTTTCTCTCAGCACCTTCCCATTCACATGTAGCACGCAGGTTAGCGCACTAGCACACGTAGCATCTATAATCCAATTGAAGCTACAGTAGTGTCAACTTTACTTTGTTAAGCAAAGCGTATTACTGCTTGCGTATTTAAGGGGGGGTTGTGAGAGTGTTTGTGTGGAAGTAAACGAAGCAAATGATGTTTTGGACATTTCCTAATCCATCTTTTTTGTGTGTACACATTCTGATCATCAGAACCAAATGCACCACATATTTTAGCAGAAAGAAAAAACATTGTCACGAAAGATGGCTTATATTAGGTGTTTCCAATCTTTTGAAACTCACAACCAACACAACTAACCACAAAAGCTTTCAAGGCCCACAAGGAGATTTAACCGGCCCAATCGTTTCAGATATAACACAATAATCAATAAAACCTATTGAATTTCAAGTGGTTGTATAATCATATATATTGTATAAAACACCAAAGAAAACCCTACCATTTTGTAGCCATTTATACATGATGAATTAATTACATATTATCAAAAAATAGAACCATTTTGGATTGACTTAAACTGAAAATATCTAGAGTGAGGTCCAAAAGTCTGAGAACACATTGAAAATCTAGGATGTTTTCAGTTAAACCTGGAAATAAACAATAGGAAGTTTTAGAATCTTAAAAAAAATTAAAACAAAAGTTATGACAATTCTATGGAGCCCTGCTGGTGACATCCTGTATAAATAAAAATAATGTGGCCATGACGTGGGAACAAGATAATTAAGTTGTGGCCATGGCTTAGTAAGGCATGGCAATAAGATAATTAAGCCTTGACCACAGCTTAATAAGACATGATCTCATTCCCATGCCTTACTAAGTCATGGCCACAACTTAACTATCTCATTGCCACGCCTTACTAAATCGTGGCCACAACTTAACTATCTCATTTTCATGCCTTACTAAGTCATTGCCATGCATTAGGATCTCATTCCTACGTGGTAATACAGCATGGTGAATTAGTAAGGTGTGGGAACGAGATTATTAAATTGTGCCTATGACTTAATAAGTCTTGGGGACGAGATCCTAATGCATGGCCATGACTTATTAAGGCGTGGCAATGAGATAATTAAGCCTTGACCACAGCTTAATAAGGCATGATCTCATTCCCACGCCTTACTAAGTCATTGCCACACATTAGGATTTCATTCCTACGCAGTAATACAGCATGTCTACAGGATGTCACCAGCAGGGCTCTGTACAATTCATAATATTAGGTTACATCACTAAAAAAATTGTCCTGCTGCCATTGTGGTAGGCAAACTGTAACTCTGATTGTGCTCTGATAGAGTTTGTCTCCTCACCATTACTGCAGCCATAACCCTGCAGGTGGATGAAGACCAAGCAAAATAGATCAGAATGACCATGAAAAAGATGGTAAGATATGTGGGTTCTTTAGATGCAGTCTCCAGAAAACACTGCAAAGAGAAAATTAGCTTGATTGGTAAACTGGATCCATACAGTGTGCATAAGCTTATCTCCAGAGTTCAGAAAACGCAGTGTGTGAGATTTTACAAAAGCTAATAAACACGGCTACCAAAACTGCCTCAAATAAGCTCTTACATAATAAACACAATTGATCTGGAGTTGGCTTCTTATTTGAATGTTCCGTTCCACCCAAAATCACTTAAATTCAGGTGCCTCATACATAAAAAAAAAAAGAGCTTAGCAAATAAGAAGCCAATATCATATCACAAACAATTTGTAGTTTACCTCAATGAATGATCCTTAATCAGGATCTTAAACATTCGCTTGGAAATGTTTACCCCCCGGAGCTGCTGGACAGTTAAATGCATCTCACTGGCCGATCTAGCGCTGCGTCCCAAACCATAGACTTCTGTACCTCACCTTCTACACTAATGAGTGCACTTCTAATGCTGTTACAGTATTTATACTATTTAGTGTGCTAGTATGTGGCAGAAGCAAATCTCAGCCGTTTAGCTTTCTTTTGTTATCAGCACAGCAACAAATCAAATACAGTCAAGGCAATACACTCAAATATATCATTAAATTAATGCACTTTAAAATAGGTTTTAAACTGAGTTTATTATTGTCTGTATTATTGCTGGATCGGTTATACCTTTGTTACCTAATAACAAACTGCTGCTGAATGAACTTGAAGTTGCCTACCAAAATGGTGGCAGTGCAGTTGCAAGACGTCATCACTACAACTGCTATGAATTAAAATGAGGAATAAATATTCTAAATTCAGCAATACTTCTAGGTCACTGTTCAAATTGAAGCTATGTGAAATTGACTATGTTAAGGTCTTTATATAAACGGTCAGATTTGTTTTAGTCTTATTTCTTCCAGTAAAGCTCATGTTAAGACGACTCTGAGGTGGATTTGATCTGTAGATCAGAGGCGTTCGCACAAACTTTTGGAGTCCATATAGCTTGAGTGCATGCTGTCATTAAAGCAAAAAGGGACGCACCAACAAATACTGAGAAATTCTGAAATTCATGTAAACATTTCAAAGATTCTACATTTTATTCAGATTGTAACACTGATAATGAAATTTGTAATGGAAAAAAATGTATGAAATTAGAAAGGAATGTAAAATATGAAGGATTTTCACTAGTGGTCTCAGACCTTTGGACCCCACTGTATTTATTAATATAATATTATTAAGAGAATATTAGAGATTATCTTGTTGGATAATAGAGGAAATGACATGCAGCATTTTTGAACCTATGAATGTGGTACAAAGTCACCGTAATGGCGCCTGTATTTGGACAGCATGCTTTTAAGGTGGAAACTAATTGGTAGCGAGGCTGAGGCTGCCTGAGAGCGCATTGTGTGTAGTCTACTAAACATAAAGCGTTCTGACATTCACAGCAGTGCTTTGTAAACATTATTACAGTGATAAACCTCTCTCTCTCTCTCTCTTTCCCACAGTTGCCCTGAAGAACCACAACTCCAGTGGGGCGACTGCCAATGTTGGTAACTATGACAACGGCAAAGCTGTGGGATTTGCAGGCCATCAGATGCCAGAGGGTGAACTCCTACTGCAGGTCAGAGCATTGGGCTTGTTACTGCACCGCTGACCCAGCGTCAGCCTATTTGTGTGTGGGAATGTTTTTGTACATTTTCAGGACTAACATGTCCTGGCTGTGTAGAACAAAAACAGGGAAAACAGGGATAACCTACAATGTCAGGATCAAATGAAACGGTTAAGGTGAGAGTTAAGCTTAGAAAATTGTTATTACATAGATTCTATACATAAAGTAGCCTATATAAGGAACATTTATCGACTATTCTCTTCATCTCATTCATGAAACTTTCATACGTGTACAACGTGGAAAAGAGTGGAGATGTAGGCGCAAATGATGAATCAGCTTCAGTGCGTGAAATCAAGTGCCAGCCAGCCAGCACCTCATTTACATTTAATTTACATGAAGCATGCCCTAATTCATAGCACCAATAAAATAATAGCGCTCAGTGGCTCATGAGCCAATAGCTGTTATTTCCAGTCATCATAATTTTAATACTATAAAGTTTGGTCAATAGTGAATGCACTGCTCCCCCTAATGAACAAACTTTATAGCATTAAAATTACGATGATTGGAAAGAATAAAATGTGAATTAAACAAAGTTTTTTTAAGACAGTAGAATGATGTGATTGTGTAGTGTAAAAAAACATATTTTAATGCTGTATCATTGCAATGTATGACACTAACTGTGCTTTGTATTGTTATTTTGTGGACGGAGTCAGTAGTATAAACCAAAAGCACAGTGTAATATGTCTTTAAATGGAACATGGAATAGTTGCAGCATTTGTTTATACCAATGTGCATGTAAAATGAGTGCATCCACTTTTGCACTGCACACATTATTAGAAATTTTGTTATTTAATATTTTTGTTCTGATTACTGCTATTTTTTCAGGTTGTTAATCTGCAATGCTCAAATTTACACACAATTCTACCATGTGCAAGTTTGATCTTACAGATATGCTAATGGTGAAATTCATGCATAACAAGACTGTTGGTGAAATTTGCATGTTCAGGTTTTCAGATTTGACCATACACAACTGTGACTGCTTTAGGCACTAAGCTTCAGTGGCTGTTGGTGTAGCTTCACTCTATTAATTGCACTTTTTCAAGGCTGCATTATGTCGCTGTGTTCGTATGTATAATGTGACTGAATGTAAATCAAATATTCAGATAAGTTTAAGTGCAAACAGTTACACGTCTAATTTATTATGCTCTATTGACAGGCTTTGAACGGCTTTGTGCTGGTCATCACTGCTGAAGGAACGATATTCTATTCCTCCCACACCATCCAGGACTATCTGGGCTTCCATCAGGTAGTGAGCCCCACTCTCCAGCGGGCCACTTTGTTCTTCACACATGAAGTGATAGTTTCACAGTTTGGAGAAAAATTTAATTTACATAATTGTTCTTCAGTTCTTCAGTGTAGTGGATCAGCCAAGACATGTTTAGTGTCTCAAGTTTGCTTCTTGAGCTACATGGCGAATCACATACCTGCCTCAAATCGTATTGAGCTGTTAAATACTAGTGTTTGGACCCCTAACTAGTCTCAGGCAGCTATTTCTACCAGCTCCTCATGCTTCATCCCTTCTAAACGAACATGGCGATGGACAAGCAAGCATGGAGATGCAGCTTGATCATCTTTGGGGATTGTAAATTGGCTAAACAGTATTAAATGTGGCAGCTTCATAATGTCCTCCAGTATTTAGGACATGTTTGCAAACAGGAAAGCTCTTGTGGCAGTGGATCATCTGCTCGCTCATTAAGAAAGCACTTCACATGACATACACATTAACATATGGCCTCAGGGTCATTCTGTAGCATGTACCGTGTTGAGCGGGTTGTGGTCATTCTGAACAAATGCTGCAGTGTGTTTGTGTGGGAGTGTATAATGTGGACATTAAGAAGATAAACGGAAGGGATTTGGCTTGTATGTTTTTAAATGAAGGCCTAGAGCTCGCTGGTGGCTATTATGTGCATTATTTATTGAATATTCAGACTGTTACAAGGCAGTTGTGTCAACTCGCCTCAATGCTGGTATAAGGACCTGCTTTTACAAAGAGTGACTCTAAGTAGAGCACCATAAATTCAGTCTCAGTTGCTTTTTTTTTATTGAAAATACACATCTTTGAGTTGCAGACAGATTTAGATCATTAGAACAGCTATTACTATGATTAAACAAAACAGATGTACTTATTGTACTACCAAAAGGGGGAAGTCTCAGGTGTTTTATTTATTTTACTGCATCTGTAACCCCACAGAAATCTCCATTATGCTAATCCAGGTAGATGTAGCGCCAAGGTATGCATTTATAAATGCTTTTGCAGATGCAGATTTGTACACTAACCATCAAAATTTGAGAATCGCTGTTAAAAAAATTTGGCAATGTTGTCAACAATATAAAACCAACTTGTTTGCCAAACAAATTGTTCTACTATGCTTGTCCTGTATAATTTCAAATAACTTGTAGCACACTATAAACCTGTAAATAAAAAAAAAATGAAATGTTAGATGTTTCCAGAATTAAGCCTGGAGTCGTATAAGATACTAATATAACTGAGAAAGCTGAATGGCTGCAAGAATTACACTGTAATAAAATTAAAATCCAGAATTCATCATATTTCAGAAGTGAAGATCAAATCCCAAGAAACATAACTTGACCCAAAAGCTTGAGGCCAGCATGCTGGTGCAGTGGGTGGCACTGTCACCTCACAAAATATTGGATTTTGGCATCATCCTATAATTTCCATATTGGTGCATCAATATTAGACCTCTGATCAGGCTTAAAATTTTGGTTGATCTGAGCTGAAACACATCAGCAGCGAGTCCAACAAACACCTGTCTGTCTTGTAATGATAGCCCTGATTAAATGACCATATGGCAAAATAAATACATTAGATCATCATTAGATCCTGGATAAATGAAATAAAAAAATAACATACAACACATGTATTCATCAAGCATTGCTGCTGAAAAGCATTCCAAACGTTTTTAGTCTGGATAAGCTCTCCATACTGCGCTGTTTTCACACTGTGCTGTGCTGAAAGAGTAAGAAGTTATCCTTCACCTGTTTAACTGTAAAACTCTGTCCTATTTCTTTGCATAGAACATAGTACATATTTTAATTTGTATGTAACATATTGAACATACACCATATGAAATTCTTTACAAACAAATGATGTCCTTTCAACTGCACTATTTTGTACTTTCTTGAATCGATTCAAGGTTTATTTCCTGACAATCCTTTTACATCTAATGAGCGTAGGTGCTAATCATAAGTGGGTGACTCCAGCATGCCAGATTATAAATGTATTGAGGTATTGGAAATAATAATAAAGGAAGGAGTAAATCTGTTAAAAGTCGGAGGCGGGCTGTGAGAACCCCAATATGAAATTTGAACCCAGCCTGACACTTAGACCGACCGGTCACTTCATTAAGTACACCTCCCTGTATCTACACTCAATGCCCATTTTATCAGCTTCACTTACCATATAGGTGAACTTTGTAGTTCTATCATTAGACTGTAGTCCACCTGTTTCTCTGCATACTTTGTTAGCCCCCTTTCATCAGGACCCCCACCGGACCACCATAGTGCAGGTATTATTTGGGTGGTGGATCATTCTTTGCACTGCAATGACACTGACATGGTGGTAGTGTGTTAGTGTGTGTTGCACTGGTACGAGTGGGCCATACACAGCAGTACTGCTGGACCACTGACCATTGAAGAACAGGGTAAAAGGGGGCTAACAAAGTATGCAGAGAAACAGATGGACTACAGTCTGTAATTACAGAGCTACAAAGTGCTCCTATATGGTACATGGAGCTGATAAAATGGACAGTGAGGGTAGATACAGATCCACACCACACACATACAAAAGCCCCTTCAGGAGATCAGCTCGTGCTTTATGGGGGGATTAGAACCCATTGAGGGGGATTGCCTTCAGTTTAATGGGCTAAGGTGGCCTGTCCTGATCTGACCTCATCTAACAGCACTTTCAACTCAATGCTCGGCGAGCAGGCTACAAAAGTAGCTAATTGTGATTTTTCTTACCATTGTTTCTGTAAATTAAGCTCCAGGCCTTTTTTTTATTCATTTGTCCAGGCTTGAGGTTTGAACACTGTTACCAAGCTCTATGTTAAATTTTCCCACTTAAAACTTGTGAAGACAACATTCTTTAAATAATATGTTTGTAATAGACTCATTCATCTGTAATGAATGAAAAGCCTAATGTACAGTTATAATAATGTGCTATGTTCACTGACAGCTGGTGTTAACTGGTATAAATATACAGTTTCGGTGCCTCTATATATTATAAATAATTTTTGATTTTTGAATACTGTTTATTTGCTGAATTTAAGGCATGGTAAGTTTATTTATATAGCACCTTTCATACACTGACACCATTCAAAGTCAGATTGAGAAAAGATCATTCAAATTTAAATTGAAAAATATAACAAATTTGGGGAAAAAAAGCATAAAGTGTGGCCTGTGAAATATCATGGCACATTTTAGATCTTTATATTTGTTTTTTTTTAAACTCCAGTTCTGGAAACTTATTTTAAAACCTATTTTCCTTTGACTTTCTCCTTTCTTATGCAAGCAGATTATCTTAATATTATATTATATCCTATCTAATCAGAAATACAGTCCTATGCAAAAGTTTATGCTGGTCAAATTCCATGCTTTGTTGATTTTCTGAGAGAACGCACTTTTCATGCACATTTTCATGCACATTTACTGTCTATGGGCTGAATTTAACATATTGGGAAAAAAATAAAACATAAGCTGTGGCCAATGTAAAAGTTGTGCCACATTTTATATTTTATGTTTATTTTTTTCCAATACGTTAACCTCAGCAAATAGATATTGTTTTTAATCTCTCTCTCAGACTGATGTCATGCACCAGAGTGTGTCTGAGCTCGTCCACACAGAGGACCAGCAGGAGTTGAGGAGGAACCTCCACTGGGCACTGAACCCCCCAGTGACAACAAATCCAACATCTCTGGAGCCTGGCCAAGGTAAAAAGCCTTTTTATGGTCAATAATTTAGATAAAATAAAGCAATAAGCCATGAAAGACCATGCCAGGGAAGACCAGGGAAAAGCAAAAGCTGTCCAGAACTTCAGCCCCAGCCCCTCTGAGTTTTCTCCCCACAAGAGGCCATACAGTGATTCACGGTTAAGGAGTGTTGTTAGATATGACATGAGTTAAATGACAGTAGCGCACAACGTCGAGTGGCTTATTTCTCGTATAAAATAGCAACAAAATACAGTATAAAATACATCAATGTTCAGTACATAAACTATTATTAAAGTTAACCTGAAATCAAAATGGACCTTTTTATTTTTATAGTTAATGTATTCTTCAGTCCAAAAAATCTTCAGCATATTTAAGCACATTTTATCACACCATACCATTTACAAGACACAATTCCTGTTTTTTCATAATCTTTGATTTAAGCACAGTGTCTTTTGCTCTTCTGATTTTTGATTATGTCACTGTAAACCAGCGAGCAGGAATGAATAATATTAAACAATAATGTTTTATCTCCATCACCTATCATGGAGAGAAAATGTTCAGCTAGCGCAGAGGCTCTCCTTGGTACTGTGTTATACTGAGAAGTATGCAAAAAGTTCCCACCCCTTCTCAAATGATATGTTGTTAATTTTGTGCAAATATGTTAAGACATTCTTCTACAGAGAACATACTTAAATATGACTTTTTTATGAGAATTCCGGAAATTGTAGTGCACAACTTAGATTTTGTTTTTAAAACTTAAAATATAACAAGTGCCATAACTTTTGCACAAGCCATAATTTTTTTCCTCAATATGTTAAGTTTAGCAAATAGACAGTAATTGTGCATTAAAATGTGCAGAGGTGTTTCCTGTGTAGGGGATATGTTAACTTATCTACACTTAGAAAATCATCAACAACATGGGATTTGACCATGAGTGTACATCATGGTACTGAATAAAATAGTGCTGTGACTTCTGATTCACGTTGACTTTAATTATAATCAGAATAATTTTTCTGCCAAGCAACAAAATAACTAGACTTATTAATACAGAATTGAGTTTATATGTGTGTTTATTGGTTATTATTGCTGTATATTAACAGCTTTTAGAACTGGATCTTGTGTACTGTATAACTTATAGTATTTCTATACAACATGCGTTTGTAAGTTCCTTGTACGGTTTGCCAGCTCCAGTATGAACCCATAATGGAATTGAACAGACAATCTAATTAGTGATTCATTATTCACTCTGTAAGTATTCTGAAGTTAGACTGTCCATAACAAGCCTTACTCAACAAACGAACTGCAGTTCTCAGTATAGCAGTGCTGAAATGGTAGCATGTGATTTTGTCACTGTTGGCTGACCACTGTCACATGGTGTGCTAAGACTGGTGATGAGCCTAGGGGCTAATTACATAAAGACTTTGCAGTAGCAGAGAGCCTCTCAGGTCAGCCTAAGCCAGAGAGTTCATAACAGTACTGATAACTATAACAGTACTGATTACTATAAGCAAATCAAGCCTTCTTCTAGCACATCGTCTATTCTGTTTTACAGAACAATGTAGAACAGAGGTGCACTGCACTTGTCAAGTGAAATGATCTCAAATCTAGTCAATATTTCTAATATTTCTCATTCTGAGATTATTGTAATATTATTTTTAAATTATTTTACTTATTTTTGGACATTATTTACTTGTTTTAAGTGATTTTTTTACTGTATTGGCAGATAATTTAGCTTGTTGTCAGAAATAAGCTTGAAACAAGCCAACTTACCTGCCAATATAGTGGGAATTTTATCTACTGAAATCACAAGTAAATAAAGTCAAGTAAATAAAGTCTAGAAATAAGTTAAATAATCTTCTTATAAAGTTGCAACAGTACCAAAATTTTAGGTATATTTACTAAATTTAAGATTACTTCACTTGCCAAGGTAGCATTTGTGGGTCCTAGAGCGCAGAATCTTGCACAATTTGTTGACTTCCCTGTTCGAGCACACCTTATTCAACTCATCAGCTAATTGTCAGGTTTTGTTGGTGGGCTAGAGCAGGGAAATCAGCAAACTGTGTTTGACAACACCCCTGTTGTAGAAGGTTCAGCCTCTGTAGTATACTGGGCGTTTAGCATGGTTTCAGAAGCTCTAAAGCCTCAGTTCATCATGATATGTAGGCAGTTATTTATGTAAACAGTAAGAAAAAAACACTTATATTAGAATAAATACAAATAAATAATAAAAATAAATTGTGTAAAAACACAAACAACAATACAAACAATGCCCAGAAATGCTTAGCGAATCAACCTTTCATTAAACTAAATGAGGCTTGCTGGTAGTGGAATGTACATATATGCAATGGCTAGAATTTGTGCTCTTTTCATTATTTTTTTCTATAAAAAGACATGAATAAGTTTGAAAGCAAGAATTTCTTGTTGATTGGCTATGTTTATGCTCATTTGTATTTATTCTTTATGTTTATCTGTCTTTACTCATACTTCTTCTAAAACACATCTACTGCCAGCACCATTTTCATGGCTGCATAAGAGTTTTTCTCTGCACTGTGCACATTATTGCTTAATTCCTTTATTCCTTAAAAAGTATGAGTATCTAGTACTAGGTTATAATTATAAAATATACTGGTAAATAAAGCTATAATTTTTGTGTACTATAATCTGAAAGGTAACACAGAGAAATCCATCAAAATAAGCAACTATTGAGTGTTTAATTGATATTTGATTCTGACTCAACATCTTTCATGCTCAGATGCGCATGGTTCAGGCTCCTCCCAGGAAACCTACAGCCCTGAGCAGCTGCCTCCTGAGAATTCATCGTTCTTGGAGAGAAATTTTGTGTGTCGCTTCCGATGTCTCTTGGACAATTCTTCTGGATTTCTGGTAAGGTTGTAGAACATAACCAAGTGGTCTCCAACCCTGGTCCTGGAGAACTACCTAACTGCCGGGCCTAATTCCAACCACAGTTTGCCACAGCCGATCCACCTAATCAACCTCTTTCCAAGTCCCTGATTGGCTGGATCAGATGTATTAGAGTTAAGTAAGGGGTGGGACAGGAACTAAACCTTTACCTGATAACAATGCATCTTGTCATCGTATCAGTTAATCTGTCGAACAATCTGAAAAACACCATATGGCATCTCTATCTGTTTCATTATATAGTCATGTGAAGCGCATGTACATGTTCTCATATGCATCAGTACTGTCAAAAACAAGCATTTCATGATCAAAGCTATCATCTCCCAATACTTTCAGGCTCTGAATCTCCAGGGTAGGCTAAAATTCCTGCATGGCCAGAACCACTTTGGAGATGACAGAGCCAAAACACCACTCCAGCTGGCACTGTTTGCAATTGCTACTCCACTCCAGCCACCCTCAATCTTGGAGATTCGGACCAAGAACATGATCTTCAGAACCAAGCACAAACTGGATTTCACCCCCATGGCTTGTGATGCAAAGCAAGTTGTGTTCAATCTTGTCATAACTCATACAATCACCAGTGTAAATGACTGGCAAAGCTTTTTGTTTGATCATATTGAGGGGAAGGACTTTGTATTAATTTTATTAAAAAATATTTAATATATTATCATTTTTACATTGCTATACATTACTTAAATCTTTATATTTTCTTTCACAGGGGTAAAATTGTCTTGGGCTACACTGAGGCTGAGTTGAGAGTTCGGGGGTCCGGGTACCAGTTCATCCATGCGGCAGATATGCTGTATTGTGCTGAAAACCATGTTCGAAGTAAGGCTCTATTTCAGAGGTTCCCAACCTTTTCTGACTCACTGTCCACAAAGCTGACCACAAAATCATCTGCGGCCCACAAGATCATTTAAAATGAGAAGAGAATACAATAGTCAATGTAGGGTATCAATTTTACTTGATTTCACATAATGCCAAACAATAGACACTAAAAATAACTGAACATTTTCTAACTGACATAATGAGCCGATGTTGTTTGGCAGCTACCAAGTGTTGGATGACATACTGGAAAAACAAAAGTTGCTTAAGGGTATCTGGCTGAGTTCAAGTTTAGATGCAGATTTGTTTAGCCTCCAACTGACGGCATACGTTGTTTGGCTTCAAAGCTTTATTTGAAAAGACCTCTGAGCATTTAGCACAGAGCAGCTTTAACTCAGTTCTCAGACACTTGAATCTGAAAGGCCTTTACACACCGAATGCAATTTATTTGTGCAGTATTTTCAGATGACAGTAAACAAAATCAAACACGTGTATAACTGATAATATCTTGCACACTCAATGTGATTTTTTTGAGTGGTGAAAATACACATTAAATTTTTGCACTCTGTTAGATTTTGGCTGGTGACAAAAACTCACTGACCGATTACTGTCATCTCTGCTGTTGGCATGATGGCAGCTGCACTGTTAAAAATGAGAGCACAGCTCAACTCAAGATGGTATAGTAACTGATTACGTGGCTTTTCTTGAGTTGACTCAACTTGAGGACACAAGAGTTCACCCAACTCAGACTTCTAAGTTGAGTCTAGAGTTGTCTTAATTTTTTAGTTCTGCATCTCAGTTAGGTAAATAAAAAGAACATGTTTTTTACACTTAACTCCTCCTCTAGCCAGGGCTCTTTCCATCACACAATCCTGCTAGATATTTTTCCTCTTGGATATCTCACTTACAGGTGGCTATGACATTGCTGGGGCTCAAACTCACAACCTCATGTTGGGGTGACATCTTAGTCCACTGCACCACACAGGAACATGCAAAGCAACTTTTTTTTGTGTCTACAAATGATTAATACACTGGAGAAAATATTTGTTGTTTTAACTTTAAAGCATGGCACAGTCTCATGTGGTGCAACTGTTTAATAACTCATCCCAACATCAGGAGATTGTGAGTTTGAATCCCAGCAATACCATAGCTGTCCAGATCTGGAAGCCCAAGAGAAAAATATACCAGATGGGACTCTAGATAGAAGGAGTTACGGCTATTTTTTGTGTGAAAAATTTCAAATTCAGTTTTGTTTATCTAACTGATATGCAGACCTAGAAACAGTAGCTGGGATAATTTTTGACTCAGCTAACAAGTTTGAGTTGGGTGAACTCAAGTTGAATCAACTCAAGAAAAGCCATGTAACGTGTATCATTTTAAGTTGAGCTGACTTCTTATTTTTTACAGTTTGTGCCTCAGCAACCAGTTTTTAACAAACATCCAAGCTATATCCAAAAGCTATCGTAGTAGCTTAGAGTTCCAGCTCTAGAATGAGGTTCTGAAACACTGTGTGCTCCTTTTACTTTTCGTTCATCATTTGCCCTATTTTGTGAGGAGCATCCCACATCACACATCTTTGTCACCTGAAGACAATATGACCAATTATTTGTTTTTTGTCGCTGCGCGCTCACTGCTGTATTTTCCTTCGCTATGGTTAATACTTTGCTTTCTTGGTTTCCTCAATCTGAGATATGGTGGCTGTTTCATTTGTGGGTGGTCCATCTTCTTTTGAAATATCTGTTTATAAGCATTTATCCATGACAGGTGAGCTCCATATGATTGAAAAGAGAAACACTACTTTTACTTGCACTGAAAATGTAAACACAGCAATCACTGTGCCTGATTAATAAATAACGTTGGTCTAAATATGAGGGTTTTTTGCACATAAATAATTAGTCCCATTTAAAATAACCTTCGGTTAAATGTCTACATATTGTTAAACAAATTTGTGGTTAAATAAAAGGCCACGGCTGCCTAGCAGTACCACTGTAGCCCACAGGTTGAAAACCACTGCTATATTTCACTTTATCATGCTAAAAAAACAAGACCACTCTGGTCTCTATTCAAAATAGGCCACTATATCACAATTCATAGTACTTATTACATGTTTTGCATAGATAATCATTTCAATTCATTATTATTATTATTTCAAAATGAAATGGTCCAAAAGGATCTCGATATTTAGCTGAAATATAAAAAGTGGAACAGAAAACAAACAGTAACTAACTATATTATTTTACACTAAGTCTTAATCAAATTAAGAGTACCCAAAATACTGCCAGTCCGAAGAGGTCATCAAGTTTGGTGTCCCCCAGCCTCTAGTGGAAGCACTCACTAGTTTATCCCAAGTAATCCCTCTGGATTATGTGGCAGATTGTGCAAGTCTGAAGAACAACTAAGAAATGGAGACAAAGAACATTCTATTAATCTTCGGACGTTAGCAAAACCGGCTAATTCAGCGGTTCCAAGAACTGCATGTAGGTTTCCACGTTTCAACATGTACACAAATTGCATATAGAGAAGACCTGATGGTCATTTGTTTTACCTTGTATGGGCACTTCTTCTGGCTAACGTTTTCAAATTCGTACTTTTGCAGTGATAAAGACTGGTGAGAGTGGACTGACAGTATTCCGGCTCCTCACCAAAGACAACTGCTGGAAATGGGTCCAAGCCAATGCAAGACTAGTATACAAGAATGGCAAACCTGATTACATCATTGCCACCCAAAGGCCACTTCTGTAAGTCAACTGTCATCAATCTAACTTTGCCTACTTTAATATAGTCATTGTTTTGTTGCATTTCAAGAGGTTTCCAAACCATAATGGTCTTACAGGGAGTAATAAATTACATGCAAACAGGTGGTCACTATGGTCTCTCCTGAGCTTGTGCCACATTGCAGTTTGCACTTGATCTGTCTGGACAAAAGGTTATGTTACAACACAGAAGAGTAACTGTCTTTTCTTAATTTGTCTCTAGGGAGGAGGAGGGTGGTGAACACTTGAGAAAACGCTCTATGCACCTTCCCTTTACATTTGCAACTGGTGAAGCTATGCTGTACCAAACCAGCCATCCAGTAGCAGGATTTAATGAAGTTCACCAAGGAAATGGAAAGATCAGTAAGTCAAAAAAGGGGCGGACTGATAAATCCTCTGAGGAAGTTCTGGATCCTTCTTCACTGCTTGGTGCACTGATGAGCCAAGATGAATCTGTTTATGTGTGCCAGCCAGCTGTGGAGACCAAAATTACATTTCAGAACAGCTTGTTTGGCACATTGGAAGCCCTACCTTGCTGGTCTGAGAGTGACTCTGGGATTCTTAGGAACTGGGATCAAACAGGTAATAACATATTGGATCCAGAGCCCCCTGACACAAGTGCTGACCCACTGCTAGCCACCTTAGATTCTTTATCCCTAAGCAATGAAGTTATTGGTGATTCAGAGGACTGCTCCAACGGAGAGCTGTTTGGAGCTCTGGAGGGTCTCGGATTAAGCGCGGAAGACTTGGAGCTGCTTCTTCTTGATGAGCGCATGATTCAAGTGGACATGGACCCAGATCATGTTCCTACTCTTGACGACCTTCTCACCAATGATGAGATACTGTCTTTCATACATGACTCGCTTGAGCAAGAATGTGAGATGGAAAGCCAGTTACCCTCTCCAGTTTCCATGACTATGACCACCTTGGTGCCTGAAACCTACACTACATCAACACCTAATGTGCACGTCCCATGTATACCTCTTAGGCCACCACCTTGTGATCAGAGACCCATTGTCCACCTGTCCCAACAGATGCAACTGCATCTCAGTCTGAGACACCCTCCACCAGTTCCAGACACCATGTCCCAGCATGGCAACCAGTCAAAGAAACATTTGGAAAATGGACTTGCACTCCATACTGTGACCAGCACCAGGACACTAAGCGGCCAACAGGCTGTTCCAGACAGCAGTTCCTCAGTAGTTAAAGTTAATGCCAAACAGCTCTTTCATTTACAGCAGTACTGCCAACAGCAACACCAGTGGCCTAGACAACAAAGCCAGTCTTCTCAGTCCCACCATCCCATCACTGAAAACTGTAACATTAATGGACTACACACTGTCAATTCAGGTAATCCTGTGAACCTAAACCAAGAGTATGGCTTCTGTTATGACAATCAAGCACACACAACTGTCAGTGTCCCTTGCCTTCACAATGGACACACATCAGTTCACACCCAAGTGGACGAATACAATACGGCTGACATTTCTTGTATGAATTTTGTAGACAACGGACAGTTGCCTCTGGAAAATAGAATTCACGAGGAGACCACACTTCCTTTGCATCAAAGGGTTGATCAGAAGGAGCAGCTGGCCCAAATGTTGTCTAGTTTTTCACAGCATATCCTGAGTGTTGGGCAGACTTGCGGACAGCTGCCCTCACAGGACCCTTTCGGAATGTTTACCTCAGAGCCTCAAGACTCTCAACAGAGCAAGGTAAGAGAAAATAAACCAAGGGCCTTATTTACGAGAACATAGTGCAAAATGAGGAAAGTGTCCTAATTGTACAAAAAATTTGAATAAATGCAATTTCATCAGGCATGTGCTACCGTTAGATGTGTTGCCGTGATATCCAATTAAATCAACTCCTCTCTTCCACCAAAATTTCTTCATAATTAAATGGTTTAGATCTACACAAAGCACAGAAGAGTGGTTTGGTGTGAATTGCTCCGTTCTAGAGAAACTTACCGAGTCTAAATTGTTCACAGTGGTGCTGATAGGAGCCAGACATCCACCTCTAAAAGCTCCCTCACTGAAAGTTATTACATGAAATGGTTATGAATATGCTGCCTGATGCCTGAGACACTGTTTTACAATAGTTTTCAGATTTCGGCCTAAAATGTATTTTTTAAAATCTATTCCTGTTGGAGAGATGCATAAGGTAAAATAGTTCCCAAAGAAACCTTTTTTTTTCCACTAATGTTGGAATGGGATGTTGGGATAAGTTATTTTCCACTATTTTCCCATCATCAACATTCCATATAAATACTCAGATGTGTAAGTTCACTGGTGGCTTTGGATAGTAAATAAAATGGCTATATTTGTGTTGTAGACATGGTGATGCCTGGTTCCTATCACCACCACTGTAAAGAAATCTCTTTAATGAACCATTTCACCCCAAACCACTCTGAATGACTTTATTTACATGTTTACATATAATAAAGGAGCATGTAAATGTACAGTTGAATTATAGAGAATTTTTGAAAAATCTGTGTAATTTCCCTGTAAGAGCCGAGTGTGCGTCAGCAGCGCAGCATAAGGACATTTTCCTAACAGCAGGGTAAAATCACTGTAATGATGAATGGACCAATAGAAAAGCTACTTGGAATAAAACCTCTTTATATTAACTTACATTCAAAGGTAAGAACATTATACCTTCTTCTGTAAAATTAACATTTTGAAGATACCTGTTTTTCTTTGCACAGTGATTATATGTACATCTTAAATTGTAGGTGCCTCTATTTCAATGTTTTCTAATTAAAGTCAATGTGAATCTTCATAGCACGTTTTCACTTCCAAGGGAAACGCGGTAAGACCTTACAGGAAAATAAGAATTTGTCATTTAAATGGTATGGTATGGGGAATCACGCTAAATATGACCAGGCAAATGAAGGTAAAGCTGACTTTAGTGGTTATCTTGTCAACTGGTCCTGCTGACAGAAGCTATGCTGGTCTGTCTTTAACAAGCCATGCTTACTATTCTCACTGTTGGCATTCATGCGAGTGCTCTGTAGGATCACAAAGCCTTGTCTTGTTTCAGAGGAGGCTATGTTTAGGAGCAAACGCTGCGGGTGGAGTGTATCTAGGGCCGGCTTATATAACTCAACCAGAGTGGATGCACAATGAAAACAGGGTCATTCTATTTCAAATCTAGAGTGAACACATTATGAACTGCACATGCAACAGTCTACTAGCTGACCAATCGAAGGGTCAATCTCGTGTTTTCTGCCAATTCTGGTGCTGTTAATTGATCACACTGAAGCACAGCGGTATTCAGAAAACAAGTACCAAATAAGGTTTATTTTCTTTTAAAACCTTTAAAAATGTTGTACTTGTAAATGAATAATTATGAATATATAATTCTAATTATGTCTGTATAGACCTGTATAGATTTGACTAATTATACAGGGAGATTCACTTGAAAGAGGCCCTGAATATTCTGTTGTAACTCCATTAGGATGAAGCAATCTGAGCCAAAAAAATACGCTACATACCTTGCCGTATGTGTAATCGATTGCATTACATGCAATGCTGGAAGAGATCTCCGTTTTCTGCCAGACACATGAAGGGGTACAGGGTTATGCACCCGGAAGTTGCAAACAGAGGTTAAACGTCGCGCCGGCTGTCCGGCGCCTACCTCATTGCTCCAACGCAGGGGCATCCCGGCTTGTTCAAAGCTCCATATATTGAGGAGCACATTGCACGTTGTTTCATTCAGATTGCTTCATCCTAGCGAGAGTTATTACAGAATATTCAGGACCTCTTTTGAGTGAATCTCCCTGTATAATATAGATTTGATTTATAGTGCACCAGTCATTCTAATTCTGTTGTATTACAATACTTGTTTTCTTTGGTGAACATATATAGCGATGGTTGGTGTTATATAAGTACAAACTTGTCCAAACCTAACTGAAAATACATACAAGATATTTAAACATATCATCCCTGTCTGAGCAAAACCTTGAATATCCATTTTTGTTGTTATTTTTATTTGTGTTTTTTTTTTATGTCCAAATTTCATGGTAAACAGACCAATAAAATGTTCAATGGGTTCTTTTAACTCATTTTTCAGTCTAGGAAAATAGCAGAAAATGTATTTAACAAATACGTTTTTAGTGTGTCAGATTTTTGCCTTTATTACAGCTTCCATTCTTTTCAGGAGACTCACTTTCAGTTTCTCAAAGAAATCTGCAGCCACACCTCCAAAGTTCAGTCTTAGAAGTTGGTTTAGCATTTTCTGCTTCTCACCATTCAAGTAATCCTAAACACATTCAGTGATGTTGAGGCGTGGACTGGTCAGTCCATTGTTCTGAAAAGAGCAGCAGCTTCTTTGTTTGATGTATTTCTTGCCTTTTCTCAGTAAGAGCTTCTTGAACAGCTACACATCCTTTGAGACCCATAGCGCTGAGTTGTCTTCTCACAGTGGAAGGATGGACAGAAACACCTGTGGATTTTTTCAGATCTGAAACAAGAGTGGAGCTTGATTTTTTCCTCTCTCAAAAATGAAAGCTTTAAGTACTGGGACAGTTTTGGTGGTCTACCAGGTCTTGCAGGTGTTTGTTAGGAGCCCCATTTTCTGTAGCTTTCATTTTTTATTTCATTTTTAATTTTTGAACTGTAGCTCTACAGACTGTCTTCTTCCTTATAGTAGTGAGTAATGATTATGGGTTATGGATTATGTTAACATTTACAGTACTGTGGAACAAAACAGATCAATCAAAACAAGTTATGTCAAGTTCGTAAGACATTTCTTTAGCATAGAGTACCATCACTCAGAACACATAGGTTCATTAACTCTATTAATGCAGAAAACATCATGATATTGAACTTGATCAGTATCACCCAGCCATAATTAGAATGGTAAGCAGGCATATTATATACCTGACTTTAACTTGCTGACATTAGCTAAATACTAACATAGGGGTGATTAAATAATGTGAGGCACCATGTGGGAATGTGTCATTTCCACTTAGTACAAAACGTTATTTCATTTCAAATAGCTAATATGAAGACAGAAGGAAATAAGTACATGCAGCTCAGCAGATTCACCATGTGTGCATTCCTCCCTTTTTCTCCTGTGACCTACAAATGCGCCCCGCTGCAATGACCTAAAAAGCGGCTGACTGACAAGCGGGGGGATGCAGAGAGGAGAGGGATGGTAAAAGAGCGAGGGTGAAAGAGGGGACATGTCTTCAGTGACAGTATATGAAGAAGAAAGTACGCTGTCAGCACGATTCAGAATGCTGAACACACTGCACCACCTAAAACAAATAAAAGCAGAGGAAAAGTGAGAGCAGCTAGTTTCCATAGTTCCATAGTTTCCACAGAAATTATGGCTTCCTAGCAGTTCTGCAGCGCTTCTGTGTTGCTAGCGCTTCTGCGTTGCTGGTACATTGTGGCTGTTCCAACTTGTTAGCAAACTGTTAGGAAGCCATATATAGTGTGAAAATGTTTATATGTATAGTAAGATTAGTTTAATTAGTTTCTGCCAAGCTCTGACTGGCAATATTGGCAAAAACAAATAAAAGTTTGTCTAAGCCTGATTAAAAAAAAATACTTTTGGACCATCTCCATTGGTTAATTCCTCATGAAGTCTTACTATATATATATATATATTTAAACATTAAAGTTAGCATTTATATATATATATATATATATATATATATATATATATATATATAGTATCTCCAAAATGATAACTTTACAGGAGAAGGAAAAAACCTACTTTACTTTTAATGTAAGCCAATGGAACCAATATATACACACACACACACACACACACACACACACACATATATATATATATATATATATATATATATATATATATATATATATATATATATATAAAACATAGTACATTACGTATACATGTATACATACATACATATGAGGACCAACAGAGATGGTCCAAAATGACATATCTTCCTTAACCTCCATTAAAAGTTAAGAACAATTTTACACAGTGGGGTCCAAAAGTGTCCACTGGTGAAAATGCTTCTGTCTTCCATTATTGTCTAATTCAATACAATGTTTTCTATCACAAATGATATTATCAGCATCACAAATCGCATAGAATGTTCACATGAATTTCAGAATTTCTTAGTTTTTGGTGGCTTTCTCCTTTTTGCTGCTATGACAGTGTGCACGTGAGGTGCAGGATTCCACAAGTTTGTTTTTGTGCAAAAAAAACAATGTACTCATCGTGCCACTGAACCTGTATGTTGTTTGTTGTAGGTGAACAGTGGGCACATCCCCAGTGGCACCTGTGCAGCTGGCGTGCCAAATGGAAGTGTGGTGGCACCTCCTAGTGGCATTCTTCAACCTGAGTCCCTCTCCGGTCTTCCAGATCCACAGACATCAGGGTTCATCCTTTGACAGCAGCACAGCGGTTTCTGTCAACAAGAGATTAAAGAAACTTGAAATGGATTAAAAGTTCCTTCCTGTCCTTTATTTAGCAGTAGTGAATTTCTGTTTCCACATCATTACTGTTATCCAGACGACTGTTACCAGATACCGCGTCCTTACATCCTCATTCATTTATGTCAATTATGTCTTTAATCAATTGTTTACGATTGTAATTGTTAGCGGTATTTGATTGCACTGTAGCTTTTTGTATTAGGACTGTTGTTAAAATTTACATAGTAATTCCTCCTCACTAAGCAGAACAAACAGACACATCAGTTGTGCTGTTAACACTGTGTATGGGTTAGAAGTTTATTTTTTTAATTCATTTTTTGTTGTCTGATTATAGCTCACTTTAAAGTGCACAATTTAACCCAATAATATAACATAACTGCCATTTAAACTGAAACTACAACAATGGCACACTGTTTCCAAAGGTTTCCCTACCATTTAATGGGACATTCCGGCCTAAAATTAGCCCTTGACATGTTAATTGTCCTGTTATGCACTATTCTGTAGCTCATCACTGTATCCTTCAATCTCAGAATTCAAGATTTTATATCATTTTCTTGTTTTCTTCCATCAGTGTTCTTTCACTACAATACCCAGCATGAATTGGCCAAATATTTCATCATATAGCCATTGGGAATCCGTCCCCACTGTGATAAGGAAATGCACTGATGTAGAGACTAATGAATACAGATGAGATATTTGGCAGTAACATCAGCTCTCTGGCTTCATTCTGCACTCTCTGGCCTATTTTGGCACCAATGTAGGAAGCAAGTAGGCATTTTTGCAACAGATGAAGCAATGATTACATTTTCATTTTAAAGCGTCCCTTTAACTTTAAATATCAAGATTTCCAAACTGTTGAATACTCAGATACTGCCCTTAAATGGATTTGGGAAGCATACATTTGTAATAGTTTGACGAATAACAGCAAAGACATTTTGGAAAGTAGTTTCAGAAACAGCGTTTTGAAAGTTTGTTCACATGAAATGGAACTTAATCAACTCAGGACTCAGGACTTCAGCAATGATGGCAAAGTACTGAATATGTTTCTTACTTCTTAGAGATTCACAAGTCGTGTTCCTTCGCTACACACACGTTAGCTCTTTTAACAAAGTATTCTATTGTTTACAGTATATTTAAGTACTAGTGCTATTGTAAGTAGGCTGAAATGTATGAAATGTAAATATGTGACAATCAAATGAAATTTTGAAACTGAGCCATACAATCAGGGGAGGGTGGGTTTTACTTTTTGTCATGAAGTATTTAAAAACTCTGCTGCTGCTCGCAGATGTACAGACTGTACTGTCATATGTTACTCATCACTGTACATAAATGAACATTTAATTTCTCATTTCAAATGAGCCACAGGGTAAGAAGAGGTGGAACAGAGAATATGGTGCCATATATATTAAAAACATTTTGTGTGGGGGGTATATGTTTTAGACTTACACCAGGACAAGAATGGTCAACATGCATAAAGTTTACCCATTTGTTGCTTGACTGCTTGTTTTACATTGTTTTGTCCTTTGAAATAAATGATTTGTGCAATCACAATCCCTTACAAGTTGCCTACCCCTGTTTAACTATGCTTTAACAAAAATGTTACATTTTCTAGCAATAGCTGGAACTTTGGCATGAAGTTGGCCCCCTATCTAAATGGTTGGGCCCAGAAACCCTTACACACCCTTGTAATAGGCAAAACATTTCAGTTACTTGCCAATGTCTTGATGTCTCTCCGGGCCACATTCACTTCCAGCCTCTTCATAAGGCTTGTTTGTTTAAGGGACTTGACCCCAGGGCCGCATTGCTCCCACTGGAGATTCTGAGGTTCCTAAGACGACACAGAGAACTACTACATAAACAATATAAGGATGTCAAGGGCAGCTGCTACATTCAACACAAACTTTTCAAAATAAGTAGAATGGGGTTTTTATTGGCTTACATGTTGGAGGATCCAGCTTTTTAACTGAAAGGAAAACTGTCCCTGAAGCTTTGTCAATTATCCCCTAATGTCAGTTTAGGGTCAGTCAGAAATTCAGTTCCGTGGTGGTTCAAATATAGAAAAACTGACTGTTTTAAATATTTTAGTAATACCATTACAATTAACCAACACAATAAACCAAGGCTTTCCACTGATTTTGCAGAATTTCTGCATAATTTAATCTTTAAGATGTAAGCCAAGTCGTACAGGCTGGTTTGATAAGAAATGCACCATTTGTCAGAATTGTTCACAACAGTGGTGGTGATAGGAACCAGACATCTGAACAGTTTAATGCCTCTAAAAGCTCCCTCACAGAAAGCTATTATATGAAATGGATTTGAATATGTTACCTGATTTCTGAAACATCATTTAACAGTACTTTTGAGACAAAGTTTTGGTCTAAAAGTTAACTTTTTTTAAATCCAATCTTAGAGAAAATGTGCATACAGTGCGTTGCGAGGCAAAACGATACCCAAAAAATACAAAAAATAAGACTTGTGTAGGTTCTTTTTGCCTAGTACATAAGATGATATTTGTGTTATAGTCATTTTAACCCCGCTTCCTATCACCACCACTGTAGAGAAACCTACAAACTTCGTAACCCTTGGTTCCTATCACCACCGCTGTAAAGAAACCCAAGTTGGTAGGTTTCTCTAGGATGAAGTGTCCCACAGCAAAACACTCTCAATTACTTTGTTTACATCTCAATGACTTAATCATGAAGGCTTTCAAACAATCAGTGAAATTGCCCTTCAAAACCAAGATTACAGCCAAAGAAAATTACAAAATATTTATTCAATACTTTCTGGCATCTCCAAACTCCAGTCATAGAGGCCCTGTCAGCACCACATAGTTTATGTTCATGTTTACCTATTTGATTCTGTTCAATAAGGGTTTTAGTGACTGATTAAAGGTGTTTTAAAACAGGTAAGTGTGTGTCAACTGTTTAGGTCAATTGCTATGCCATTACTTTGTGATATTAAAATGATTGTCATTATTTTCAGATGCTAAGTTATTATTTTGAGATACTACCTCTTTATCCTGAGATGCTAAGTCATTATACTATCTCAAATAATTTTGAGATGTTTAGCGTCTCATATATTTAGCATTTCAAATTAATGAGATATCTCAAAAGATGACTTAACATCTCAAAATAATGAGTTTCAAAATAATGACTTTCAAATTAATAAGACAATATTTCAAAATAATGAATTAGTATCTAAAATGAATGAGACTGTATTAATGACTTAACATGTCAAATTAATTAGATATCTCAAAATACTGACTTAGCATCTCAAATTAATGAGATAATATTTCAAAATAATGAGATAGTATTTCAAAATAATGATTTAGTATTGCAACATCATGGCAATAGAAAGGCCTATTCCAGCCACTTAAAACAAAATCCAGCACCTTATAATTATTCCTAAATTATTAAGTGCATTACTATACTATTATTATATATTATGATACTAGGTCACTATCTCATTATTTTGAGATACTAAGTCATTTTTTTGAGATGCTAAGTCATTATTTCGAGAACATTTCTTGTTTTTTATATTTATCAATTATATACGTGTGTATATTTACACATATTTACACAGAAAAACCAAAGTTAATGTGTTATTCCTTAAACTATGTGCAATCTCACAAAAAACAATGATTCATTTTGAAAATGTTTATTAAACAGCAAAGTAGTTAGACAAATGAAATACAACTTTAGAAAATATCAGCTGTTAATAACATTTTTACATATCAAATGCAAAGAACAGCACTGAGAAATCGTAAGATTAACAGAGAAGAGCAGATTAAACACAAGAAACAGCCACAAGTAACATGGTCAGGTAAAGTGGCCAAGAAATGACTGACAGAAAACAATTTCAACATTTTGGAGTGGCTGTTGTGGAGAATACAGCGATGGAAAGAAAGCCTTCAAACCTCAAAGAGCTGGAGATCATCATAAAAGAGAGGTGGTCCAAAATCCCAGTGGTGACAAAAAGCTTGTTAGTAATTATAAGAATCATTTGATTGCTGTGAAAGCTTTGACACTGATTACTGAGAAAGGGTATGAACAATTCTGGACACAGCATTTCTCGTAGAAATATACATCGATCAGGCATAACCTTGCGACCACCTCCTTGTTTCTTTGCTCATTGTCCATTTTATCAGTTCCACTTACTACACTGCATCCTTTATTAGCCCCCTTTTACCCTGTTCTTCAGTGGTCAGGACCCCATGGATCCTGACAGAGCGGGTACTATTTGGATGGTGGATCATTCTCAGCACTGCAGTTGTGTTGGTGCTGGTACGAGTGGATCAGACACAGCAGTGCTGCTGGAGTTTTTAAACACTCACTGTCCACTCTATTAGACACTCCTACTTTGTCAGTCCACCTTGTAGATGTAAAGTCAGAGACGATAGCTCATCTGCTGCTGCACAGTTTGTGTTGGTCATCCTCTAGTCCTTCATCAGTGGTCACAGGACACTGTTGGCTGGATATTTTTGGTTGGTGGACTATTCTCAGTCCAGGAGTGACACTGAGGTGTTTAAAAACTCAAGCAGCACTGCTGTGTCTGATCCACTCAGACCAGCACAACACACACTAACACACACCACCACATCAGTGTGACTGCAGGGCTGAGAATGACCCACCACCCAAATAGTACCTGCTCTGAGAGGGTCCATGGGGGTCCTGACCACTGAAGAACAGGGTAAAAGGGGGCTAACAAAGTATGCAGAGAAACAGATGGACTACAGTCTGTAATTGTAGAACTACAAAGTGCACCTATATAGTAAGTGGAGCTGATAAAATGGACAATGAGCGTAGAAACAAGGAGGTGGTCATAATGCTATGCCTGATTGGTGTATATTGCTTTCGTAAATGCTGATGTTTTCTTTATTAAATGTTTGTTCTTCAAGAAATCAAATAAAGTGTGTCCGGCTGGCCTGTGGTCTGCTGATCATCCACCGAACTCCTCCTCTGGAATTCTTCAAGAGTGTAAGTACGTGAAAGAAAACACAGAGGGCAGGTTATTCTTTCAAAGTGGACAGTTTTTTTATAAGCTTTTTGTACAAGTCTGACTCAAAATATCACTTCTTTAGTGTCTTAATGTAGTGCAGTTTAATAAAAGTGTAATAAAATAAAACAAAGAAAAATACTCAAGTAATAAATCAATTTTATCAGTTGTTGGTTCTGATTGACCTTTATCATCTTTTGCAGCTTTGCAAAGAGAATCAAAGGTTTTGGTGACACCCTTTGAGAAAGCGTGCA